TTATGATCTACACAGTCAAATGCCTTTGCATAGGCAATGAAACACAGACATTCCTCTGGTATTCCCTGCTTTCAGCCAAGATCCATCTAACATCAGCTACAATATCTCTAGTACCACGACCCCCCCTAAACCCAGCCTGGACTTCTGGTAGTTCTCTGTTGATGTGCTGTTCCCCCACTCACGGTCATGGTGTATTAGTTGATTAACATTTTGTAGTTCTTTTGGTGGTTAGTATACTTTTTCTTTTATATTATGTGATTTATTGTGTACAATTCCAGAATAAGAATCATATTTAATCGTTCTTAAAATATTTCGTTGTCCTTTATAATAAATTAATGTCTATTTTTTTTTCTTTAAAATGTTGTACAAAATATGTTCCATGTTTTCATAATTTTTTTTAAAATAATTTCTTTTTTGAGATAACACTAAACATTCTTTGAACTGAGAGTGAAATGCAGAATTTAGTCCTGGAATATATATTCTATCTCTTTTTGATGATTATAGTTTTGTTGAAACCAAATTCTAAATTCTGGTTTGAACTTATGTCTTCTATAGCATCCATTGTTCCCTTTTATTAGGATTTTAAAAGGAAAACTGGCAAAATTATGATCTTTTGTTTCTAGAGAGAAGAGCCGAGACCGTGAACGGGAGCGAGAGCGAGAAAGAGAGCGAGAGCGAGAACGGGAAAGAGAGCGAGAGCGTGAGAGAGAGCGAGAGAGGGAACGGGAGCGCGAGAGAGAGAAAGACAAGAAACGTGACCGAGAGGAGGATGAAGAAGATGCATATGAAAGGAGAAAGCTGGAAAGAAAACTCCGAGAGAAGGAAGCTGCTTATCAAGAGGTGTATAGAGGACACACTTATCTTTTTGTAGGGCAGTACTGGGTTGGTTGTCAAAATTGCAGAACTGATTGGGCAATATTTTAAAGCTTTGCTATTTGTTTTAGCGGCTTAAGAACTGGGAAATCCGTGAACGAAAGAAAACCCGGGAATATGAAAAAGAAGCTGAACGAGAAGAAGAAAGGAGGAGAGAGATGGTAAGAACCTGGGAATTTTAGTGTTGTTTGTTTTAAGTAATTTTTTTCAGATTAAAATCAAGTCAGATCTTGATTATTTTTTTTAAAAGCCAACTCTCTAGTCAAGATATGAGTTCCGGTCTCATCAGTAATTTGTTTTGCACACCTTAAGCAATGGGCTCTTTTGTGTCAGGAAGTGTGAGGATGGCGAAAGATAGAACAAGGTTCAGATCTTTTGTTCATAGGGTCACTATTAGCCAAACTTGACTCGACAGCGCCTAACAACAGTAACAACAACCAACTTTAATAATTTTTCAGAATTATGATTTGAGTGAAAGTTGACAAAGCAAATTGGTTTTCCCGTTAAACATTCATACACATTTGTTTAAACATTAATTATAATTCTTAAAATGTTATAATCTCTCTTTGTATTTCTTATCTCCATTAATTTTTCTATATTTTCCTGCCTTTAGGGCTTTATAATTGGGAAACTGTTACTCTGTTGACTTTTTTGATTAGTTATTCTGAGGAGTGAGTGCCTTCCTAGTATTGGTCACTGTTATAGGTCTGTCTGTTGTTTGGCTATAAGATGAGCTATGAGAATGAGCTTCATTACAGATTTAAAGGGCAAGTATGAGCTGTAGTTTCTGGAGTTCCACCTCTGTAAGTAAGCTTGATAATTTCATTATACCAATATTTTGTCTTCCTACTTTTCATATTTTACTGCACCTAAAAGCATCTTTTTTTGCTATGCTGTTAAAATAAAAATTTACAAAATTGCCAGAGTGTTACTTGGTTAAAAATCTGCAAATTTGGATCTGAGGCGTTGTTTCTCTGTAAATTGTCATGTATTTGGATAGTACTGATAGTTTTCTGGCAAGAACAGCTTTTATAATCCAAGATTATATCTCTATCACCTCTGTTTACTATAGCTTCAGATGCCATGCTATTTCTTTTTACTACATGATTATCAGAGAAATTAATTTTGTTTTCACACTTGTTAAAGTATCACAGTGAAGTATTTGGCATAGATTGTAATTAAATAACAATGAAATATGTTTTATCATAGTATTTGCTTCAGTAGTATGTTCCGTGTGTTCTATCTTTGCCAGAATTTCATGAAAGTTTCTTTATCTCCAGTTTGGAGATTATTCTTCTAAAAACTTCACTGAAGTTAGGAATCTTCTTCAAATAGCTTTTGAACATGAGACATAGAGGGATTTTTTTGTAAGTAACCAAAAGGAGGGTGCATGCAGCAATAGATAGATAGTATGGGTTTTCTGGCTAGATCCTCTAACATCATAGAATTATTTTAAATTATTTTAACTTTCTTGTTTTATCGCCCTTAGTGAAGGATTTCATTTTTATTTCCAGATTAGAAAATAGATGAGCACAGTATAGTTACTTGATAAGTATTTGTCATCAGCAACATTGTGAATCACTTTCTTGAAATCTACTTCCTATAAGGAAATTTGTCTTTCTAGTGACAAATTCTCTCCCCTCCCTTTTTTCAGAACTGAAAAAAATCCTAATTATGTAAAGTTACTTACCCACTCTAAAAATGTTTAGACAATACAAATATCTGTAGTATGGTGTAAAAATTACTGTTGCTCTTCCCAAGAATATTTCCATAATAATCGTGCCTGTGAGCCATACAGTAAAATACGTGTCTTGTTAAAATATATTTTTATGTGTTATCAGATGTTGCTTGCAGATAATAGATCTCAGTGTACTGCTGGTTGCTGGGAGGATAACAGTGACGTTCAAAAAAATGGTCATTGGCCAAGGAGAGAGGGAATTATAGAGAGAAAGTTATGTGTGTACGTGCACTCTTAACGTATACTGTGCAAATTTGTTTCAAGCATTTTGGATGTGTAAAGGAAGGACAAAATAGGAAAATTTATTGAAAGCATTTTGGATGTATAGTCCTTTTGGGAGGGATTGGTCAAAGACAAATGGTTAGGTTGGGAAGTCCCTATAGAGAGCTTTGAACTGGACAAAGCTTATGTGCTTTGTTTAGTTAGTTGATAGATATTTGTTGTATCTGAGATGCTAAAAATACAAGTAAGAGTTTCCCATGGTTTATTCTTGTTTTTTAGGTTCTAATTGATAAATGAGTATGATAGAAATATTATATATTGTTGAATTTTATAAAATCCATTTCTTTTGATGTCATATATACCTACAAGATAAAAAAATACTATTCCGTTAGAATCATTAATGATTATTGCAACTTGGAGTTTTGTTTCTGTTTGTTTTCAGATTTCATTAGCTAATCATAAGTGTACTTTGGACATTATATAATCATAGAGAACATTGTAAACTCCTGTATGATTTTTATTACACAGATAAGTCTTATGACAAGTATTTTAGAAATAAAAGAAGGAAAATGTATGATACAATTTTAGCCTAAAGTATATGAGAAATAAATAAAAAGTTAAATTGTATGTATAAAGTATGTATATCTGTTACTCCCAAGAAAGGTGATTGGGACAGTCTCTGATTTTTATGTTAATGCTGTGCATTTGTTGTTCGTTTACTCAAAGGCAAAAGAAGCTAAGCGATTGAAAGAATTCTTAGAAGATTATGATGATGATAGAGATGATCCCAAGTATTACAGGTAAAGAAGAAAGGCTCCTTAGTGGTTCTGGTGCTACTTGTTTTAGTGTTTCACAACTGGCCTCTTTTTTTAAAAAAAAAAAATTTTACTTTTTTCAAATAATTGCAAGAAACATTCCAAAGAATTTGGTTACACACGACTTGTTTTTCAGAGAAAAGACTATGTACTGACATTTCTGAACGAGCTCTTTTTTTCTTTTTAAAGCTAGATCACTACTTGTTTTATATATTTGGGTTGAATTACTTCAGAACAAAGCAGGAAGTAAATGAACACAATGTTAGGGGCATTCTGTCAACACAAGTCTATAGTCTGTTAGTATGTAGCTTTTCACAGTGGAACAAAGTACTGTTGAGTAGGTATGGTTGATGACAAAACATTTAAATGAGATCTGTTACGATTTATTCTTTTAGGGGAAGTGCTCTTCAGAAAAGATTGCGTGACAGGGAAAAGGAAATGGAAGCAGATGAACGTGATAGGAAGAGAGAGAAGGAAGAACTGGAGGAAATTAGGCAGCGTCTTCTGGCAGAAGGACACCCAGACCCAGATGCAGAGCTCCAAAGGGTAAAACAATCTGTAGTCTGTACTTGTTTTATTGTTGGGGATTATATTATTATAGTATGCAGACCAACCATGAAATAGTTTATCAGTGATAAAAATACAATTTATAATCCCTGTATTTCCTAAGCTCAAAGAAAGCCTTTTTATGGAATTTTGCTTATAAATTTGTCTCTCAGTAGTTTGCCTTTACAGGTGGAAATTGCTGTAGTTTCAGTTCCTTCTGTGCGGCCCTAAATATTTTGTTTTCAAAAATTATTCCATGCATCTTTCTGCCATTTCAGAAATGAAAACATCATGTTATAAAAGCATGGCATATCTGTTCTTGAATTTTAGAGTAAAGATATTTTAAGGGAGGGAAAAAAATGTTTAGGTTTTTTGTGTGTTAGGATTCTAATACAAATTCTTCAAATCAGTGCTTTTTCTTTAACCTATTATATGCTTTTGGTTAATAAGAAACCATGTTTTATATTTCAGTTTTGTTTTCAATATGAATTTTGCATTTTACCAGTTTTCATTCTTTACCTCTATAATGTTTAGGTGAGTTTTTGAGTGGTAATTTTTTGTGTATTATTTCTACCATTATTCATACTCTGCAAAAAATTTTTACTTGCTCGAGTAGTTACTTTCTATTTGCTTTTGTTTAAAACCCAGAGAACTCTTTCGTCTATTCACCCAGTTTTCCATCATCTTAGTTGTAGGTTGTTTTAGGAATAGCATTTATTCCTAGTTCCCTTCTTTCTTCATTTTTTTCCTTTCTCATTGTCATAGAGTCAGATGCACCTTGTAGCTGACCCTCTCATGAATTTCCAAGATTCTTAATTCCCATACGAAGAGACTGCCCATTCCAGCCCCCCCCCCCCCCCCCCCCACGAGATCTCTGTTTCAGCTCTAGAAGCAGCTAGGAGATTTAAAACCACCAACGAAGTTTGACCTTTGGCAAAGTGTTGAAATTCTGTACTAACTACACATCAGAGTTCCTAAAAGAATTGAAGAAAAAAAATACTGAAGCTTCAGGTTAGGATACTGAAAGAGTCTATACATAAACTATTAAATGACTTAAGAAACATCAAAAGAATATGGGAGGAATACATAGAGTCACTCTCCCATAAGAAATTGGTTGACAAAGAAGCATTTAAGGAAGTAGCATGTGATAGGATCAAAAATTAATGGTACTAAAGGAAGAACTCCCAGCTGCACTGAAGGCATTGGCAAAACATTAAGCTCAGGAATTGATAGAATACTGACTGACATGTATCACCAAATAAAATGGAACATGCTTCATGCTAGTTTGTACCAAGAGATTTGGAAGGCATGTACATGGCCAACCAACTAGATGAGAAACCATATTTGTTGTCTTTTTTTAAGAAAGATAGATTGGTAGGTAGGTAGATACCATACAGGATGAGAATTATCTAAGAATATTATTAATATCACGTACAAGTAAAATCTTGTTGAAGATTATTACAAAATGGCTGAAATAGTACATCGTCAATGAACTGCCAGAAATTCAAGATAGATTTCAAAGATTCCAGGGAAAGAGGATTAACATTGCTCATATTATATGGATGTTGGCTGAGAGCAGAGAATACTAGAAAGATGTTTACTTGTTTTTTATTGTTATATGAGTCTAATAAGTTACGGATAATAATTAGAAGAGTGAAAATTACAGAATGCTTAATTGTGCTATTGGGAAACCTTTATATAGACCAAGATACAATTCTGATGTGTACTGTTTCTGACTTAAAACCCTGTAGTATTCCTTTGTTCTATTTGAACTGCTTCTTGGTCTATGTAAAGGTTTTAACTCAATGACAATGAGGGAGAGATTCAGTCTGTACACTGAGCAAATAATACTAATGAGAAGCTAGACTGTATAAAGAAGAATGTGGCATTTGAATTGAATATGACTCCTCAACAGCCTATTTTAAACTGGACTAAATAAAAAGGAATGCGGCACCAGAATTGGTGACAGACTCAAAAACCTACACTGTGCGATGTCAATATAACAAACATCTCAATATGAAGAAAACCGAAATCCTCACCACTGTATCAGTAAACACCATGATAGATGAAGAAAAGGTTGAAGTTGTCAATAATTGCATTGTACTTGGATCTATAACATCACCCATTGTAGCAGTAGTCAAGAATTTTAAAAAAATAATTTGCAAAATTTACAATAAGAGAGGTTCATTGCTTAGTGATCTGGCAGGGCAGGAGGGGAAGGGAAGAAAATGTGCAACAATGAATGAATAAAAGAAAAAATAATCA